AGTCCGCAGAACCGTAGCATTGAGGCCCGGAGTGCAGGGTACAGGTTTGAACTACGAATCCCCAGACCCTAACGTAGGGGCCTCCATAATTAGAATAGGGCTTCTGGGCTCCTTTATAGTATATAGTTACAATAAGGAACCCTAAGTATGGTTCTAATAGGGTTTTGGGGCTCCTTTATAGTATATAGTTACGATAAGGAACCCTATAAGGAATCATATGGGTAATTATTTAGGCTTCCATACTATACCCCGGAACCCTACCTGAAGAACCCAAAACCTACTTTTTTGTAGGATCCCTATAAATCCCATATTAGGGTTTATAATAAGAACCTACAAAAAAGTGGGTTTGGGGTTCTTAAGGTAAGCCCTAAACCTGCACCGCCTCACAGGCCTGCTCCCCCGATGGCCGACAAAAGGAAGGGCGATGAGAATACCTACGTCATCCATCCTGAGCTGCGAGCTCGGGTTTAAAAGTTTAGGGTTTAGGGTCTAAGGTTTAGGGTTTAGGGTTTAGGTTTTAGGGTTTAGGGTTTAGGGTTTAGGTTTTAGGGTTTAGGGTTTAGAGTTTAGGGTAGCTCGGTGAGGGTCGTGGAGTTGATATCTGGGAGTTTCCGAAAATTTGGGTACCTTATTTTGGGGTCCTTACAATAAGGATCCTACCATTTAGGGTACTATATTAGGGTCCCCGATTTTCGGAAACCCCCATATCTCACGAGGCCTAATCCCTCACCCTATCCCCTTAGGATTGGGTTTAGGGTTTTAGGGTTTATAGCTCTAAACCCGACACCCTACATGATTCACGAAGCACTGTCAAAACTTGAATCCCGGACCCAGGCCTTTTTTTCCTAAGCACGACACCCCCAACAACCCGCAGCCTTGAACGCTAAACCAAACTACACTAGTGTGCTTTGTGTTTGTTGGGAGAGTCTGTAGGGAGTTATTTTGGACACTCAAACATGACCGAACTTCGCTAGCATTTCATTGCTTAGCAGTTTTTGCTGTTATACTTCAATAGTGTCTACCATTGCCGTCATGATTGCTACTGTTTTGCCGTCCATTCTGTTTGTTTCCCTGCATTGTTCTTCCTCTCAGTAAAGTTCATCAGGATGTTTACCGTGTTAGGAACACTGTTCATGACGATGATGATGATGATGATGACGACGACGATGATGATGATGATGATGATTCGGGACAATGCTCATGATGATGTTGTTGATGATGATCATGGCGGCGACGATGGTGACCTTTGCAACATGATTGGAGGGTTTTCCATGCGGGATGTTACAACAGGGCTCTCCCGAGGTCTGATATGCCTATGGAGATGTTCTCCACAAGGGTTGTCTCGGAGAAGGGTCGTTCCTAAATCCCCATTTTGGGATCCGTCCTGAATCCCCACGTTTGTCCGCAGTGTGTGTGTGTGTGTGTGTTTG